TGCATAATTAAATGATGAAGATGTAAACAGTCATTAGGCAGCGAGTTCATGTGTGTGAGTGGCAGACAGAGAGAATCACGGCCTTCATTTCCGCTTTTTTTCTTTAATTTTTAAGTGTTTATCTCAGCGTACTATCTCATTTCCCTCTCTGCATGTCTCTCTCTCTGCCTCCTCTCCCTCTTTCCTTTCTCTCTTTTATTTCTTGCTTTCTAACTCTTTTCTCGCTTTTTTCTCTCTCCCTCTTTTCTCACTCTCTTCTTCTTTCTCTTATTTTTTGTCTCCCTTTCCTCATATCTTTATCATGCACTTTGACCCAATTTTCTATCATTCTTTTTCTCTTTGTATGTTGTTTCCTCCCTCTCTCTCTCTCTCTCTCTCTCTCTCATCAGCTTATATAGACTCAGTCACAAAGTTACTAGTTACTACTATTATAAGTACTACTACTACTATTTCTATAACTACTGTTATAAGTATTTCTATTACAACTACAACAACTACTACTACTTCTACAATTACTATTACATGTATTACTACTACTACAATTACTATTACAAGTACTACTAATGCTACTGCTACTACAACTGTAACAACTACTACTACAACTACTTTTATAAGCAGTACTACTACTATAACTACTGCTACAACTAAACCAGAACAATACTGCTACTACCTCTACTGCTACACATATAACAACTACTAGTATCATAACTACCAGCAGCAGCAGTAGTAGTGCTCTCTGAACATGTATACATACGCTATTTTACACAAGTTAATTGTTCTTTAAAGAGACAATTAGCTATGATTCTAATGTAGGTTACAAGTAATGAAGCTAATAACTCACCAATTAGCACTGTGCAAACTGCATTAGCCTCACAGCTCCAGGGTAGAGTTAAAGAAGCAAACATGTCTGGGCTAATTCACTATATTTGTGTCAAGGCAAAATCTGATTTTCACCAAAACTAAGTCTTATTCATTTACAGGACTGGAGAATGAGACTGTAGAGAAAGAGGAGTGAATCTCAGCAGTGTATGGGGTGGACTGTAAGCAGCGAGCACCAGAAGGACATTCAGAACTGTCACAGTGTACTGGGAGCTAAAGGGAAGGAAGGCAAAAAGTGAGAAAAGCGAGAGACGTGTGCGGATGGAGACACACGTCTGAAGTTTCCTTCCTTGTAACTCGGCCCAGAGACTGGAAAATAAAGCCCGGCATTGACTGTGACTCAGGCTCCTGGTTAGGAAAGTGAATTAACCCCTTAAACTACTGGAAAAGTCGCACACTGTAGAGCTACTTACGTATATAGGAGTTTTAGAGTGAGGAGTCGAATGAATGGAGATTTTGCATTGAAAGGAAAATTTAGTCCGTGATTAAACATAATCCATGTCCGGAAAACCAGCCCTCGGAGTTTAAAGGGTTACACTTATGGAAGCCTTAATAAGCTGACTGCATTAGTAACACACTGCAAAACGTTGTATCTTATCAAGTAAAATTATCTTAAATATAGTCAAGAAATCTAATATTTCTCCTGTTGAGATTGTTGTAAGCTTAATTTAACATTATTTAACTTATTTCTAGACATTTTTCTTACTTGTTTTAAGTATTTTTATCAAGTAAAATTGTCTCACTACGTTAGATATATAGACTAGATTTAAGACCATTTCACTTGACATACCATTTTTTGCAGTGCAGTATTAGAATAGCAGTTGTAATAGCAGTAGTTGTTATAGGTGTAGTTGTAGTTGTGATAGCAGTATTGGTTCAGTTAGTAGTCTTTATTGTAGCAGTAGTTGTAATAATAGCAGTAGTGATACTTATAATAGTAGTTGTAGAAGTAGTACTTGTAGTAGTAGTTGTAGTAGCAGTAATAGTAGTTATAATAGTAGTTGTAGATGTAGCACTTATAGTAGTAGTTCTTGTAGTAGCAGTAACAGTAGTAGTAGTTATAACAGTAGTTGTAGAAGTAGTACTTGTAGTAGTTGTATTAGTTGCAGTAGTAGTAGTTTTTGTAGTTATAGTTGTAGGGGTGGGAGCTGTAGTAGTAGTTGGAGTAGTAGTAAGTGTTGTAGGAGTTGTGGTAGCAGGACTAAGAGTAGTAGTTGTTGTCCACTTGTAGTAGTACCTATCGTAGTAGTTTTTGTAGTAGTTGTAATAGTTGGGTAGCAGTACTCAAGCAGTTGTAGAAGTTGTACTTGTAGTAGTAGTACTTGTACCTGTAGTAGTTGGACTAGTAGTAGTAGTAGTAGCAGTTTTTGTAGTCGTAGTGGTGGGAGCTGTAGTAGTAGTTGTGGTAGTGGTTGTAGTAGTTTTTGTAGTAGTTGGACTAGCAGTTGCAGCAGCCGTAGAGGTAAAAGTGGTTGTAGTAGTAGCAGTACACACAAATCCATATTATCTTCTATTTCAGACATTTCAAAGCAGCCCCACTTTGCGCTGTCAGTTTTGCATATATGTACAAAAAGGCTATTCTTGAGTCAGTTTTACAGTGTTTCATCTGAGCAGGTAGATCTGTGTAGAAGGCCAACTTGTAGCTGAGAGGCAGGCAAATTGTGCATAAAGGAAACACTGTATACACAGGAACTACAGCGTTACACAGTCACCCTCTAGTGGTGAACAGTGATTAATACAGCAAAAGTCAAGATTACTCAGTAAGAGTAAAAGGCCAACACTTCTGTCTTCATATTTAGCTAAACTCATAGGGTCAAAACTTTCTTTTAATAAATATACACCAGTAAACGATGTCCAAACATGAAGAAAACATACAAAGCTTTACAATAAATATTTTAAAGCTTTAAAACAATACCCAACACAAGTGTTTTAAGACTCTTGGGCAAATGTTTGACTAAGATTAACAACAAGAAACTGACCTGTAGTGACTAATTATGAGTTTATGAAAAGATAATTCCTTATATTTCAGCATTTAGAGTCAGTTATTCATTCAATCTAATGAGAAACTGTAGAACACGACTCAGTTTATATCACAATACCTACATTTAGAGCCAGTTATTCATTCAGCCCAATGAGAAACTGTAGAACAGACTCAGTTTATATCACAATACCTACATTTAGAGTCAGTTATTCATTCAACCTAATGAGAAACTGTAGAACAGACTCAGTTTATATCACAATACCTACATTTAGAGCCGGTTATTCATTCAACCTAATGAGAAACTGTAGAACAGACTCAGTTTATATCACAATACCTACATTTAGAGCCAGTTACTCATTCAACCTAATGAGAAACTGTAGAACAGACTCAGTTTATATCATAGTACCTACATTTAGAGTCAGTTATTCATTAAACCTAATGAGAAACTGTAGAACAGACTCAGTTTATACCACAATACCTATATTTAGAGCCAGTTATTGTTATTGTTATTCTCAAATAACAATTGTAAAGTATGCATTTGGTCATGTTGATCATGGACAGGTTAGTTTTATGGTACCTTCATCAAGTGTTATAATTTTGATTTATATCTGGAACTGAAGACAGTGCTCCAGCATGACTGGCCAAATATGGCGTGCACGAAGGCATCAATTCCCGCTTTGTGATCTTATTTACTCAGAGGAAAATAACTGAATCTGGAGCCTAAATTAACAGTAATAAGATGGGAGTTGCCTGACCAAAGAAGGACTAATTGGAGAGGCGTGAGCAACCGTGACCAAACCACAGAAACAGGGGCAGATTTGCTGAAGACGAATTAGTCTTAGAGGTGTGACTGACCAGGGCCTGGGTCAAGCACAGGTCAGAGGAGTGAGAGATTTGAGTCATGCTCTTCTGTAGAGCTCCAGAAAGGCATAGCCCTCAACGTTGTGCATCATTCTGCAGTCTGTGTCATGCCCATGTTAGGAACTCTGGTCTAAGCTTGTTTGTCTCTATGGGAAAAATGAATGGCGTTTTCAAAATCGCAATCCCAGCTGCAGTAAACTAAAACGTTCCAAAGCTGATATACTGTGTTCAGTGGATCCGCTCAACCACAAGGCTGTTTAGCAGTCAATATACAAATAATGTTACATACATCGACTTTGGAACATTTCTGTTCACCAAAGGAAAACAATGTTCATTTTTCTAATGGAGAAAAACATTTTAGACCCAGAGATTCTAATATGGGCTTGAAGGTGACTACAGAACGACTACATAACTTCAGATGTCTGAGTGCAATATCATCCGGCATATGAGGGTTTCTAATAATGTGGCCAGTCAAACTTCCAGAAAGTCATGTTCCTCAATCATGTGACTCTCTTCGTCCTGAAAGCACAGATATGAAGAGTCACATCTTCACATCATGTTTGGTTCTCTTTCTGAAAGTGGCTGAATGTAACTGGTGCGGTTTTCCAATGTGGAGCGTTTATTTGCGTTTCTTATCAGAAAAACTGACCACATCTGTCACCAAACTGCACAAGCACCAAAGCCACTGGTCAGAATGTGAAAGGACACATTAGCAGGGCAAAAATTCCACACTGTTCTTCAAACTGAAGTCTGTGGTTGTCAGTGTGCTTCACCGCACAGGAACGGAGGTTTGTACTAAGGGCCCACATTCTTCATTTATCTTTTACTTTTTTCCAGCCTCTTCTTATCCCTGTTTTATTGTACAGTCTGTTCTGTGATTTTGAGACTGTAAATGAGCTCTGTTCTGATTGGCTTTCCTTTATTAAGCCTCATTCAAAAAGCAGTCTGGGTTGAAACACTCCTTATAACTTCAGTGTGAGTGGGCGGGGCTAAACTGCTGTAGGCTGAGTAGGTGGGTGTTTGTAAATGATTTCACAAAAACAGTGAATTCATAACAGGCTTTTTTGCAGCCTAGTTTCTATATATGGACCAGAGAGTGAACAGTACCTTTTGAAACTTTATAAATGTTTACAAACTAAACCAAACTCTTTTATTTAAAAAAGGTGAGTTTTCCATGATACAGGCCCTTTAACATTAGCGTATACAGTTATATGCAAAGCTTTGGGCACCCATGGTCAAACGCTATTTTGCTGAATTTAACATTGGGGGAAAAAACATTCTGTGCAAAAGTTGTGGCAGATTTTATATTTATTTTTTTACAGTATTCAAACTTCAAATCTACAGCTCTGTAATGTGTTTAGTGCTGTTACATGTTATTATATTCAGGATTGTGTGTGCCTGTACTGTGATTGTATTTAGAACATTCTGTTCTGCCTATTTTTGCTTATCCCTACATGGTCATGTCTGTCACACCTGTCACTTGTCATGTATGGAAAGTCAACAAAACATGACCCAGGGATATTTAAACTGTATGCTGGAATATCCACTGACTGGCCACTCCACCTTGCTGACCTACAGTAAGAAACTGTAGCTAGAGATGGCCTATAGGTATTGATAGGTATGCTGAGTCCAATCCAATCAAGTAACAAATCTAGCCTGAAATCGCTCATCGTAAGTGAACAACTACATACAGCTCATTATAAAGTTTTTAAAGACAATATTGACTTGACTGATGCTCAAGGTCTCAATATCAGTATTGATACTGGAAAAGAAAAAGTGGTGTCGTGCCATCTCATCTGTTGATGCAGTTTGTGTTTGCCATCTACTAGCCCTTCACTATTTTCTGACCAGAGTCATTTTGGGTTGGACATTTTTGAGTGGAGGACAAATCGAAACACACCCCATTTTAATCCTGCAGTATTTACTTCAGCTTACCATAAATTCCTGTCTATGCTCATCTAATCTGTATTCTTTTGCATGTGAAAAACCGACTCTAGATCAACTTTCTCTGGAAAAGCTATATAAAGAACTTCTGATTTCAATTTTAACTGAAAAATGAACTGAAAAAGCTAAACATGCGGCAGCATTTCAGCACACAGACACACCAACAAATACAAAAACAAAATTAAGGTTTATTTTATTTAGATCAACACAGAAAAAAGACAAAAATCAAACAAAAAAAGAAGGTGCATGATAATTTACAAAACTAAGCCCAGCAATAGAGATAGAGCAGAATAAAATGCAGGCACATTTTGGTCAAAATATCTTTCTATTATATGACTACTATAAAATTAGCTATGTACACAACCATTTATTTATATATTTTAATATAGTTTTTGCAAAGATTACAAGTTGCTTTGTGGCACACACTTTTAAAACAGGCAACACTTTAATTTTGGTCAATATGTGATTACAGCTACAGCAAATGAAGACCTGAGTCATTTTGATAAACAGCATAATTCGTGACTTTGCCCAGACGTGACTGCTTTATAATCTTTACTGTACATTTTAAAGCAACATCAAAGTGACAGAGCCTGAAGAGAAAGACACTTAGGAGATCTTAGAAGGCACAGAGGACGGAAAAGAGAGCCGTTTCTTACAATCAACCGTCTGCCCTAGACGGCTGCGGAGGAAATCCTGTATGACCTCATTTACGTACTTTAACATACAGCTATATATTCACAAGCAACAGAGTCTGACCTTTGGTCCGTCTTCAGAAGAGTGCAGGAAAATGACGAGTGACAGGGCGTTTCGAGTGTTCTTTTCGTTCAGGACCCATGAAATACACCACTAACCCTCAAGTCCTTTGAGAGAATGTCTGCAAATGCAAGATCTGGTCACCCTGCCCGGGGCCTTCTCTCTTCATATTGTGCGAAATACCGGGTCTGACTGATCTGCTTTAGATTGATAAATAAATACCTTTGAGTTTGATTGTTTTCTTTTGTCTAGTCATGTAAACATTAGCTTTGATGCTACTTCTACAGCAAGCAGACACAGTCTGCAATATTTGGTTTTATGTTGAGCAGTGAGGAGGAAAAATCAACAGAACGTTCAAAGAAAATGAAGGGAAAAGACACTAAAACCCAGAAAGGCAGGCAGTGCAGCAACGTTTTGACACGTAACATCTCACAACGTTATCTGCCTGTCATATAATGAAACATGGATCCAGTGTTTATTAAAATAACTTGAACACAAAAAAAGGTGTGCTTCCAACACCTAGCCTGCAGGTGTTGCTGTAACATGACTGGTCTCCCCCAACTCACCACCCACTTTGCGTTATTCTTTAGTGAAAAAAGACTGCCATCATCTAGGGCGCCAGGCCCTGTCTGGGATTGGAAAGTGCACTCCGGCAGACGACAACATGCTCTGGTTCTGTCGTTCGTCAAATCTAATGAACAAAAGGCAGAGTCTGTCTACTTCAGACAACAGTCCACCATTAAATGAGCCTTATTCCTCACATCTTTACGCTTTAATCAAGTCATAACAGCTTTCCAAAGCATCCGCGTTAGGCACAAGAATACTGTAATAAGAAGAGGGAAATGCTTCCAGGTCCGCCCTCCTTTGGGGGAACAATAGTGGCCTGTCCAGCATGGCTCACATACAGCTGGCTATGCTAGTGCATTTTGGCTCCACCTGCTAAGACTGAAAGAGGTGAACGATTTGATGCACAAAACTCACAAAAGCTGATGCACTTTGGCTGGACACATCTACAGGACCGCTGAATACATTTACAGCAATAATCACTTTAGTTTGTTTGGAAATCTACTTCTTAACAGAACAGCCATTTGATTGTGCAAATGGATAAATAACTTACGTAACAGTTCCACTTAAGATCATTCTCGACAGCTAATCAAAGAAGTACGTGACCCACAATACTAATTCTCTGACCTAATTTTACTGATCTGATTAAGATGGAATTGCAATGCACTTTCAAGATACTACTTTTTTCGGAGCAGCAACTCAAACAATAGCAACACAATGACAAATCTTGCATATAAGCATAAGCTAAAGTGGTCAACATTGATAATACAGGCACTGACAAGGCAGTGATCAACGCTTTTGCAATACATTATTCACGTGGAACTATTTTTACGTGGCTCCTGCGGTTCTTAATCCTTAATTGACGTCCACCTAAATAAGGGAGTGCAATAACAGCGATTACCCAACATATCTAACAACCTAGGGACACATAAAAATAACTTATAGAATACGCTCAACTGTGGTGATCAGCACATTTTTTCACCGTACCAAGTTCAGGCCAGCTGAACTACAGTTCCCATGATTCTGTTGTTTCTAGCTTCTGTGGCACAGCAATTGGTTTCGTGTAACACTATATAACATCATGTTTAAAATACAAACTGCTACCTTTTCTGCAGTAGCTTAGATCAGCTCAGAGACAAGGCATGCACACACGCTAAGTCCACTTTTAGACCATCATATAAGATTAATAATAATAATAATAATAATAATAATAATAATAATAATAATAATGATAATGTATAAGCTGCCAAAACCTAGCAACCCTGAGGTGGAATGGAATCTACTGACAGTTTAAGGCTGGATCGTTGAGCCAGGCCCAGATTTTAATCATGTCTTGTGGAGTTCTTGGGTGGACCAGCATCAGGCTTTTATAGGCACATGGGTTGTTACGAAATTTCTCCTCGATGTTGAAGGTGCGGAAGCCCTTATGCTTCTCTGGAGCAAGTCCCAGCTTCCTTAGGCACATGCCTGTGTAGACGTCGTCGATGGGATAGAGGGCCACCTGGCTCGTGATGCCGTGGAGCCTCTTGGCCACATTTCCTGAGTACAGGTAACCTCCACCACCTGCATAAGGAGGATATGATCCCACAAACATGCTCTCAGGGATGAAGTACTTTACTTTTTTGTCTCTGTGAGGTCCAGCATTGGTGATGACATCCCCGACAAACAGATCCTGCGCCTTGGCAGGTGAGAGGCCCTTAAGGAAATTGATAATGTGTAACGTGTTCACAAAAACGTCGTCGTCACCCTTGAATATGAAGCTAGCTTCGGAACAGCGAGTGTTGACCCACTCAAGGAAAAGTACCTCTTTAATGGTTAGGTTGAAAAAGGAGTCCCTGTAGTCCCACTGGAGGAGGTCTCCATACCTGGAGCTCTCATAATGTAACAGGTGTGATAAGTCTGGGAAGTGGTCCACATTGGTGGCATTACCAAGAAGAAAAATGGTAACAACAGTTTTGTTCGCCATGAGACCAGCTCGACCCCAAGACTCTCGTATTGCCTGGCGCCGGTCGAAGTGGGGCGCCAGCGACTTTATGGCCAGGAGGAGGAATGGCGGATCTTTGCATATTTCTGGCTCATCCACTACCATGGGGTAGGACCTGCATCGCATGTACAGCAAGAAGTCTTTAAAACGGTCTGGAAGGGAGCTGAAATCCTTCACTTGTGTAGTGACTCTAAAATCCGGCTCACAGGAGTTATTCAGCGACGTCTCGTTTAACCACTCCGGCAACCTGCTGCTGCCGAATGTCATGTTTGGTCCATTCAGGATGGGATTGTTCTGATGGTCCATTTTCTGCTGTTGGAGGTTCCAGTAAGCATCATGCGGGGTCCGTTTTCTCCAGAACGGCTTGGTGGGGACTCGAACTTTTCTCCTGCCGTTCTTATCCTGGCCAGTGCTTCTTGATACTTCTACCACAATGAAGATGAACAGGGTCATCACAGTCATTACAAAGACCTTCAACTTCCTTCGAGGTCCGTGCATGGTGCCGACATTCACCACCTGGTAAGAGAGGCACAGGGGTCACAAGTCAGAAGACACTAAAACACCAGAGAGAAAAAGAGAGGCTCTCTTGGCTTCAGAAAAACAGTTAGCAGATATCCTATTCTTAGTCAGACCTTCTCAAAACAATTTTTTCTCAAATATCTTAAATCGTAGTGTTCAAGGTTACATATGCTGTACCATGCATCGGTGTTGTTTGTGGTACATAATTTTGCGAAATCAACCCTCGTTCCAGCTATCTGACAAGTCTGGATATGTTGGCGCTGTGCGATTCAAGATAAATCAGATGTCTTGAGTGAAACTTGAACTTGAAGTCTGTCTTGACTGGCTCGCCTTCTTTTTTTATATTGTGACTGGTTGGACTAACGCAGCCTTGGTTTGGCAAACAGCCATGTAAACAAATATGTGCCTTCCACTGTTGAAGTCTTGACCTTCCCTGCTGGGTGGTCTTCCTTTTCCCCCCTAACCACTTCCTCTTTTTCTGTAAATTTTGTGTTCCCTGCTCAGTTACTCCTTCTCCTCCTCTCTTTTCTCCCTCTGCCTCATCCTCTTGGCTATGGTGTTTTTTGAATCAGTGCTTTGTTATTTCTAATCAATCATTCTTCCTCCTGGCCAAGTAATCCACGAATGGTAGAAATGTCTGCTCTTAACTTGGCCAACCACCATAAGTGAATCAATCACTTCTGCTGTCTACACATCTTTATTTTATTTTTTAACACCAGACACGGCACGATTTTTCCTTTTCCGATCCTGCAACCTTAAGTATCACCTGATATTTTATTTTTTTTACAAAGCTTCAAGTCAAGTCAAATTTATTTGTATAGCGCTTTTTACAACTGATGCTGTCACAAAGCAGCTTCACAGAAATCCATTAAAGACAAAGTTTTAACATGAAAGTCAAAAGTTTTAACGTGAAAGTCAAATATTTTCTATATTTGTATACCAAGCTCAAACTACTCAAGCACTGTATTACCCTACTCCTACTTTTATTATGTGATGCTATCCTATTTCTTTACTTTTCAGTTTGAACAACAAGAGAGTTGTGTTATTTGGCACCAAACACTTGAACTGTGTACCCACCAATAATCGTGGGTCTCGGTCCACTTACAAGCAAACCCTGGTACAGTTTGCTACTGAAGGGATTGCAATTTTATGATGGTCCGCACCAAATGAAGGAGTTCAACAACAGAGCATGCTTTTCTAACTCATCTATCAGCACATCAGTGCTGTACCCCCCAGATAATCTGCCTGTTTCAATGTCTGACTCTCAACAATCAAAAATCATTCCTGCAGCAAGCTGCTGCTAATGAAGGCTGACAAAGTAATAGCAAAGATATGTGTTTGATTTTGCCACATGGATCACTGAACATATTTTTTTCTGAGAGGTGAATTTGGTGAAGGGTAGTTCTTCAATGCTATCATGTAGGCTGTGAATTTAATTCTAAGCTCTTTAAATTCTTTCTCAGCTGTTTTTTTGCATACACGAGAGATTGCGCGGGCTAAGGGAGCTTCCTTAGTAGCACTCTGTAGCACTCAGCAGCACTTTGTGATGGTGAATTCATGTGCATTTTATGCGCTTCACTCTCACCATGTTTTTTTACAGTCTCCTTTTTGAAATGATTAATTCCTGTTAAGAAATCCATTTTTCTAGCTATATCTTTGCTTGCTTCTGCTTTATGTTAGCATACCTGAGCCCTCCTAAAGCCACCTAGAACTCCTAAAGCCAAAAAGTTCTGAAATCTTTCTGTGGTTGTGCTTCTGTATGAAGTGCTTAAAGTGGATGGTTGTTCAAGTACATCTTCATGTGCATCTTTTACTGGTTCACTGATCCTGAGTCAGACTGGGGTTGAGCTGATGACCTCTCAAGGTCTGACACAGAAGCAGATTGTGTGAAAAAATCTGATATTTTTTGCTTCACCATTACAACCGACGTTCACTACAAAAAGCTCAGCTCGGCTCATCTGCCTTGTTTTATTTTGGACTCGCTGATGGCAGTGTCGGAGAGCAGGATGCTGTCTAAGCTGCAGGCCATTATGGACAATGGCTCCCACCCACTCTACGACACAGTGATGAGTCAACTCCACCCTCAATGTGTGACACTATGGTTCATCTGTGCAATATTCAATACCAAACTGTACTGTTCATATGTGTAATAATAGTAATAATAATAATAATAATAAAAGTAATTTTCTTAGTTGTGTACAATAACTCAGGCGCAATAATTTGAACCGCTTTATACAGTATGTTTCATATTTATTTATTATCACAGCCACTGTCATTTTACTGTATTTAAAGGTGTACATACTGCAAATTTCTCTCTTGTTTTAAATTGTTAGAGTGTTTATTCTTTTACATTAATGGCTGCAACTGTAAAAACTGCAATTTCCCTCTTGGATCAATAAAGTACTCTGATTCTGATTAGTCATGTTTTGCCGCTCTGGTTGAAAATCCGCGACCACAAAGACTTGTTTTTGACAGGCGGACAAAATTTCTGACCAATAAACAAACACCCACTGTTGTAATTTGGTGCACACTATCCACTGTAAACTGCAACCAATCAAACCAAATTAAAAGACAGTCACAAAAACCCAACCTCTTGTGCAGACAGTAGCAAACAAATTAGGTATGAGCACACACTGCAGTATTTGTGTTACTTTGTCTACATTTGCACCAGTGAAAATGACCAGGTGTGATCTTGTGCCATTCAAGTAATTTTACCCTCTGAGAACTGTGGGGTCAAACCAGAGCAAGAACAAAGAAACAGAAAGAAAAACGCAAATGCTGAACTTTAATAAAGGGTTTGTTTTGATAAAACTAATATATCTGACAACCCTAAGCACCCCAGCCACTGGGTATAGCATCAGTCTCTTAATAAAGCAAAACACTGTCTTGTGACCTCCCTGCTTCGTTCCTTCATAGAAAAGAAAATCACACGATTTATGGTCATCATGTGCTCTGTATTCCCAAATCCTCATGATAGCAATAACAGATGCTTTTTGGATCAAAAAATACATTTCTACCCAATGTGGGACAAGAAAGTGAACACTGGAGAAAAAACAGGCATAACAAACCATGTACTAATACTGAGTTGGTGGTTAGGTTCTTTTTTATATTATATTATAGTATAGTTTTGGCTTTAGAAAGTTCTGAAAAAGAAAAATCATGTCCAATAAACCTCTACAATAGTCACCAACATATGGAGCACATGGACCCAGAAGCTGTTGTTGATCTTTACCGGGCAACACCAGTGAATGCACGTACAGAGCCTTCCCGAAACGCACAGGGAATAAGCTGCTCTGTAGGGAGGGCAGCAGTGTGAAATGCTTTCGCTCTTCTCTGTACGGGTAACCAATGCTGACAGTAAATAATTCAACATGAATAGTTTTCAGTCCAGTTCAAGGGTCAGCGTAGTCTTTAAACTGACCAGGCACACCTGCCTCAACATGTCAGTTAATAGCCAACCCTAACACTGAGGATGAATGCATGGTTAGTTTTTAACACGCCTCTTTTTCAAATCTAAATTTCTTAGAAAGGCAATTAAAATAGAGTAAATCATTAAACAATTATGTGACTGTCTGGGAGTCAAAAGAAAACTTAAGAGGGTTATTGATTAAACCTATAAACTTATAAGGGTGGGTGATATGGGAAAAAAATATCACGATATCTTTTCACAATACACAACATGGATCACGATATTGTGCTTTTCTGAGGTTGGACAAGTCCGTACAGACAAAAAAAAGACCCAGTAGTGCCATATTTAAAAGCTGCTACCAAAACTATGAATATAATGATTTATTTTCAACATTTCATCTTTCTGTTACACTAGGCGCTGCACAATATCCAATTATCTAACTTGATGGTTCATATTTGTGTAGGTATGTGACTCGAATCTGTTGTGACAAAACCTTGAATCTGTTGTGACAAAACATTGTAACTTTACAGGAAAAGGAAAAAAATTTGATTAACATAAATCAATGGAACCAGACTTTTGTCCAAGTCATTTTGTGTATACATACATACATAATAAGAATAAACACTTAATTTAAAACAAATAATTTAAAACGAGAGAAATTGTGTATACATATACATACATACACATACAATATATATACACATATATATATATACATACACACAAACACATATATATATAAATAAGTGGCTGATTTGAAAAGTTTAGTTTGTGTCTTAAAATGTTTAAACTTCTCTGAGGCAGCATCATAAAAAGAAGGAACCACTGTTCTCACTGTACATTACATGCTATTCTTGATCTCAAACATGATGTAGATTACTGTTTGCACTACCACACACATTTATGTATACTCCTTGCCCCTACATAATCTGTATGTTGCTTCCTTGCATCAAACTCTATAACTCCACCCTCAATGTGTGACACTATGGTTCATCTGTGCAATATTCAATACCAAACTGTACTGTTCATATGTGTAATAATAGTAATAATAATAATAATAATAATAATAATGATGATAATGTAAGTAATTTTCTTAGTTATGTGTACAATAACTCAAGCGCAATAATTTGAACCGCTTTATACAGTATGTTTCATATTTACAGTTTGGCCTGTAGTTTTTACAGATGATATTAGTGAACCGCTGTACTATTTGTCACTCTTCTTTGACAGCACGTCTGAGTGCCTCAGTGTGTCAAGGTGGAAGTGAAGAATGCAAACAAGGGTCACACCATATATTTAAATGTCTGCTGCAAGATCTGTCAGTCTAAACCAACACAGAGGCTCAAAGCTAAAAGCATCACGACAGTGGCACTGAATGAAGCCGGCTTTAGCAATTCCTGATTCGGGTCAATGCCACACAGAACAAGCTCTTTGTTTCGCTGACTTATTTCTGTCTCTTCACATGCCAGAGTGACCTTCTGACTGCTCAGCCATCCCAATTTAAATCAAATTAAAACCCTTTTGCTTTTTCACTGATGTTGTTCTAGTGCAGGGGTGTCCAACTCAACTAAGAGGGCCATATTAAAAAATCTCCACTAATCTGTGGGCAAGCTGTGTTTTATTATTCCTTAACATTATGCCATGACCCCAACTAGCCATTGTTTGTTCTAAATATGCCAAAATTATAATGGCAAAAACAGGCCATTCAAAAATAATTTTAAATAAAAACAAATTGTTTTATATAAAACAATAGACTATATTAGCTGTTAAACCTCTTTAAAATGTCGCTTGAACTACACACCACCATTTTTGTGGTGCTGTCCCATAGATCATTGTTGGGGAGGGGGTGGGAGCACACATTACGTTGCAGTGCATGCTGGGAACTGTAGCACAGCTCAGGGTGAAATGAGCTAACAACAACAACAAAAATAATTTTGCATGCCGAATACATTTGTGCCACGGGCCTGACTTGGCCTGCAGGCCTTGTGTTTGACACATGGGCTCTAGCGTTTGTGCCGTCTTCTGAGTTTACACACCTTTGCACTAGCTGCCCGAGGGGTCAGGACACAAGCCAGATGAGAACTAACTTTATCTGTAAGACTGTGGCTTCGAGTTGAGCAAAACCACTCAGTGCCACAAAACAAGCGAACTTGTGTTTTCAGAAAATAATACAAAAACAAAAATAAAAAACAAACAAAAACAGTCCCTTGGTTTTCAGTTGGTATATCTGTATTCTGTTAACTGGTTGAAACATTTTTACATAACATTATTATATACAGTACTAGCTTTCGCTCCTAAAAATAAAGGTGCCAGAAACATAAATAACCACTTTTGGGTCCATAAAGAAACTTGCAGTGGTTTAGTCTTCAAAGAGCTCTTAGCGTCCAAGAAAGCGTGCAACTTTGAACTGCCCCACAGCTTTCAGCTATGAAATTCTGGATTCTGGATCTAGTTTTCAAAATACAGTTCAGATGGAATATCTCACAGCAGAGCTTAACATGGCAAAACAGTCAACACTAAGAAACTGGGAGAATTTATACGACTCTATTCAAGAGTTTTAGTTTCCAATTCAATTGTAATGTTGTTCAGTTGTCTAGTTGTTTATGTATCGTCTTTGTTTTATTTTTGATTTGTGTGCATTCCTAAATCATGTTACAATCCTGCTTACCTTTCCTCACCCTTGTTGTAAAACGTAATATAAAATTCAATTAAAAGTTGATCACAAAAAAAGAGCTACTGCTGTAAATGAGATGTGCAAATGTGTGTGTGAGAAGAAGCTCCTCAAAAAACCTCATACAGTTCTACAAACCATAATCTTAATTCTAAATTTGTTTATGTTCACAAAATACAATTAAATTGGTCCATGAAAACACTGGAAGTCTTTTGTCACTTAAATAAAGGTTCAAAAAATTAACAAAACCACAGATTCTTGTTTTTACTGCATTTTACATAATGTCCCAATTTTTCCAGAAATGGGGCCTGTACACCAATTAAAGGTTTTCCTAGAGCCATATTTCCAAACCAAGAAACACTGAGTTTTAAACGGGGGTGCTGTGTATTTAAGAATCTTTGCATAATGCAATGGTTGAGATGTAAACAAAGATATTCAGAGTGGTTTGACCTGAAAGGTTTTGTTCTAGATGGTGGTGGTGATAGGAACAAGACTGAGGAGTTTAATGCTTTAAAAGCTCTCAGGAAGCCATTAGAGTAAACAGCTACAAATACATTAACCAATGCCACTGCTTTACAATGAGCATCTGGCCTGAAAGTTTATTTTTATCACAATTATGGCTGAGAGCTACCCAAAGAAAATGCATTTTTTCAGAGTCTACCATCAACATATGAAAGCTTGTGTAGATTCACTGGTTAGTAAACAAAACGGCTTTATTTGTGTTGTACATATTGTGACCCCTGGTTCATCACCACTATTGTAAAGAATTCTGACTCAACACGTTTCTGTATTTTGCACCATTTCACATCAGAACAATCTGACTGACATTGTTTACATCTTAACCACAGAATTATGCAGAAAAATCTGTGAAATTCATCTTTAAAAGGTGTACAGTTTGATACTTTCCAGCACTTTTTATCAAACAGTTAGCATTTTAGTATCACACTAAATAGACATCATCACAATACACAAGGTACACAAGCTGTAGAGAAAAATATATCACAGAAAAAGGAGCTTATAGAACGGCTGATTATTTATTTACTAGTTCAGGTGTTTCTATACCTTATATATCTTATCTCCCTCTATTTTTTCCCTAATTTACACCTGCCACATCAGAACAGCTACAACTCACCACACTACTCACCATTTCCACTCATTGTTTGCAGGGAGTGTTATTTAATAAATAAATACGTGCTCGTCTGGCTCATCAGTCTCTCTCCCACTCACTTCATTCTCTCTCCCAGAAAGGCTTCTCTCCAGTTTCGCTGCCTCTGCCTCCTAGCAACTCTTTCAATGTGGTCTCTAGGCACCTCTCTCTTTCTCTCATTTCTCTCCTGTTTTCTCTCGTTCAAAGAGTATTTATTAAAACTGCCACATCTAATAGCAATACTCTGAAACAGTGACTTTACAAGAGAAGGAAAAATGTTCCAAACTGTAGGTAACTATGTAGATCAATGTAAAGAGATTATCTTCTGGAGTAATACTGGAGGACTTTCATTGGTCCATAGGTCATGATAGATTTCCATAATGTAAAAGGCAGCTGGCTTTTTCTCATATGGGAAAAAAAAAACAAAACAAAAAAAAAACACCCCACCCTGTCCTAAAAACAAGATTTACGAGCTTTTGATATGACCTAAATAAATAAGGAAAATTAAGGATGGCACTCTCTCTTTCTGCTAAGCACAGTTAAGCATTAACTCCATTAAAGCCTCTATTAAAGACAACTGCAAAGAGACTCCCTGCCTCCTTTGAAACGCCACGCTGTTCAGATGCACTTATGCAAGTTCAGCCATTACAGAACTGTTACCTAATTGCAGGATCCGCTTACCAGGAAATATTCAAGATTTCTTAATACTGCCAGGAGCTAATGAGTGTTTTTGGGGACACAGATAATGTATAAAAAAGGGCTCGTCTTCGGAGAGAAAGAGCACTTTCAATGGTGTGTCCTCATTAACAGTGTTATTTAACTCAGGACCAGGCTTCTCTCTGGGGAAAGGATGTCCTTTAGAATGAAACAGGTACACCCAGTGATAATTCAAATCAACTGTAGAACTGAATGACATCCGAGATGTTTGCTGTGCAACTGATTTTGAGTCATGAGTGCAATCACATCTCTCTTTATGCGGTTTCACAGTATTCCCAAAATCCTACATAATGATCATTGCTATATGGTAGAACAATATACTGGACATTTGGACAATCGCGCATGAAATGTGAGAGATTTTGAGTAATGAACACATTTATTAAGACCAATATAACACGGCACAAAGCAAGCACTACATTTTTCCTGTGTTTACTGTTTATATAGTTGCATGAAAAAGTTTCTGAACTGATTTTTCAACACAAAGCATAAACTATGATTTACATTATCATAACTAAAATAAGAAAATGTTTTAATCAAGTGAAGTCATTGATGCAAAAAGTATGTGACGCCCTCAGATAAGGGCAGATTGAAAAGAGATTTAAGTGCTCCCATCAATTCAGACAGATCTGATCTGCCCTCAAAGTCAAAAAGCTGGTTTTTGATGGATAAAAAAAAAAAAAAAAAAACAATTTTTGGTTCAAATTACAGTTAATATAATCCCAGTTAAAGAGCTTGAAACATCACATATTTATGAATCCCAGAGTGGGGGTGTTTATTAGGGGTGTAATAATTCTCCAAATCCCCAGTCCAGTTCGGACCTTGAATTTTGAGCCATGGTTCGGGTCATATCTCGCTCTTTTTTTGTTTTTTTTTTTGTGAATAAGAAAAAAACTGAATTTATAGGTTTTATTAATTCACCAACAACTTGGAACACTAAAAAGACGAACACTAAAGAACACGGTATACATCTGGCCCTAACATTAAATAGTACAATAAAAATATTAATTTTGTGATTTACATGTGTTACAGTGTTAATTATGAAATTAAAAATCTGTTTTGCTACATTAGTAATGTAATAAGAGCCATCAGGCTGCATCAGCACTGGTGGCAGGAGTATGGGGTTGGGGAGGAAAAGGGGATTGTGGTTCCGGAAGACGGAACTGTGACATGAGACCGTGGATGTTTGTATCACAATTTCAGTCTTGGTTTCAGAAACCTTGCACACCTAGTGTGCATGATGAGTCATCACAGACAAACACGACACCAGGTAATTCTAAGTGACTTTTTTCTGATCAATGTAGGCTGATGACTGTTAGACTTTTACACTGTTAGACTGATGATAATAAATATGCTAATTTTAATCTTCATGTGGCTAATAAGCGCTTGACTCTTCCTCATTTTTCAAGTTGTTAACCACTGTTAACAGAGAAAATAGTTATCCGAGGTTCTGTAAAGCTGAAACGTAGTCAGGAACGCTGTGCTTGGACAGACAGGCCCCAGGGATGGCAAACTGCGTTCCTTACGGGCTGCAGCTCATGAAGGCTTAGCTAATTAGCTGATGAGTTGCATAAGATGTGTTTAATGAGGCAGAACGCTAAACTCTACAGAGCTGCAGCACAGCACGTTACAAACAGCCTCAACTGCTCAAGCCTTGCCTTATACAAAGCTCTGAAAGTGTCTGGAAGAGGGTTTGCTCTGGAAGGGTTACCTGTTCTCAGGTGAGAGTGAAGGTGAGGCTCCAGGTGTGTGGTGCTCAGGTGTCCAGGTCAATCTTTACCCCATCATGGCACTCAGACAGAGGGAAACCGGAGGGGTCAAAGAGGGAGTCAACGTAGAGGTAACCTGTAAAGAGGGGAAAAAAATAAAAATAAAAAAATAAAGAAAGCGTCAATCCTCCTGCTTAAACATAGTTAGAATAATTAGGATGGTTTACTAATTACATAAACTGGGGAGAATTTCACAAGCGCTTACACTCAAAGTGCAGAAGCACACAAACAAGAGATGCCAAGATACCACTTTTTCCTCTTCTGATACTGATACTGAAATGTTGAGAAACATCTGATACCGATAATGATCAAATACCTTTTTCTATGCACACTACAAGCTTTAACATTAGCTGTTCTTTTTATTTTGAAGCTCCTCACTTGTGAGCTATCCACACCCTGGTCGTGTACACACATTCTTTTCACACTGCACAGTAGAACCAGAGTAAAAAGTTCTCTGGAGATCGCGTGGCGGTCAGAAGATTTCATGCAATGCTAACAGTAAACACAAACAGCAGGAGCCCCAATGAAGGAGTTTTAAGCACTAATTTACCTTTTGCATTTGGTTTTGTGTGAAGTATTACAGTGATTCTGGCTAGTTAGTGTTTTAAGAAATGTCTCATGTCTCTGAATGGTGAAAGTACGGATCTGAAACTGACAACCACACTCGTGTTTCAAAATCACAAGTAAACTCTGAGAAAAATAGCATTACTAGCACTCTGAGGCGTGTGGTTCAAATAACCCACAAAAACATGCTGTCTGGTTATTCCTGCTTCTTCGCATGCATCTGCAAGGAGGGAGGGCTTTTAGCACTTACACCTTTAGCAACAAGGTGATTGGCTGTTTTAACTGAATGTAATAAAGGCACCACAACAATTTTCAACATTCAGTTTTATGTTTACAGTAACATGTGCTGTATTTGCTCATATTTGCAAGATGTTACATGTGAAAACATGTTGCTCTGACAAACTAACAGGTTGGCGCTTTCGTCCACCTGTAAGAAGAAGAAAAGTCCACATTAGGATTCCACTGAATTGGGCAAAAACCAGGCCAGTGATCGAGTCTCCATGCATTTTATGCCATGTTAAAGACGTAACCAAGAAGGCAGAGGTAGTGCAGCTGCACCACTAACCAGGCTAACTACTCTAGCTAATGTTAGCAAGGTCCATAAACAATGGAAGTGTGAAATATGTTTCTCTGAAAAATAAGGTGCTACATCGCCCACTGAGGAGACATTGAGTCAGCATCCAGTGTAGCACGTTGTTAGCTCATCTGAACAGGCAGCCTCTGTTACTCATCCAACATGAAAACATACTGATTTCCCTCGGCTGTTTTTGGCCAAAGTCCGTTTTTTTTGCATTGTTTTTATATTACAGCTACTCCAATGTCATTAGTCAGATACACATGCCTGCTTGGCAATGGAAATGACAACAACGTGCATGATCATGATTTGCAACCATACCATTAGGGTTGAACGACATGGCAAAAATATAGTATCACAATACTATACAATACATGATATGTCCCATAATACTTACTTTTTCTGATTTTATTAAACTGTAACGGACAAAAAAGAACGTAAATGTTAATTTTTTTTTTATAAATACCATGAATACAATACAATTTTTACATTGCACTAAATCCAGTTATACAGGCCTAATTGTGCTCTCTCTGTAATGAATCATTCAGTTGGTCAGTGTTCTTTAAGTACTGACTATATCCTCAACATACTCAGAAAGGCATATTGTGACATAATTCATCATGATAGCAATAAAATATGGTCATATTGCCCACCCCTACGTACCATGCTGTACTACACTGCCTGATGAAAAAATGCCTTATCAGCACCCATTTACACTCCTGCACAAGATTACTAAAAAAGTGAAAAGTGCAGGGAGATTTTGAACCGGTTTGCATTACATTCTTGAAGTACCTGGAACCTGGCGTGTGTGTGTGTGTGTGTGTGTGTGTGTGTGTGTGTGTGTGGGGACAGGGAGCAGAACAGTGTTGCCATGGCACTCAGCCACCTTGGTTTAAGTAAACACAGGAAAAAGTGAGCAGGGGCTGTGTGTGTGTGTGTGTGTGTGTGTAAACACACACACACACACACACCACACGCAAACCCACCCAAATTCGTTGCCCAACAGCTCAACACACATTAGATCTGCTAAAATCTGGGCTGTAAGAGGATTTGGAGGTAGCAAAGCTCACTCCCTTAATGCTTCTCAAGGCAGAAAGTTAGCCTCAGTTTTCCAAAACTGCCTGTCTAAGCGCCTCATGGTTACAGCTAAACTGGATTATTGATTATTTAACTAGGATGAAAGAAAGAATTGTTTTGTTCCGCAATGGAAACTCACTGTACACCTCACTTATACACAGTGACAAATGCAGTAATAAATACAGATACACCACAGTCTCTCACAGTGGTTTCCATGCTTGGTTTGTCCAAATTAAGAGCTGCACATCAAATATGGGAACATATGACAAAAATATATCATTGTAAATTTGGAGATATTTTCATGTTACAGAAGGTGTATTACCATATATACCATTTTTATGTGGGCTACAAACATGTTGGAGTCAAGAAAATGCAGTCAGAGTCTATGGAAACTGAGTAAACTGCAAAAAACACTATTCAAGACAGAGTGGGGGAAAAATGCAACTCAAAGCCTTATAGAGATTTGAACTGTATTCTCTATGTTGCTGCTATTATTACGAGTTACAGAACGTTTTATTGATATGATACAGAACCCTATTTGAGAGTGTAAATCTGTCTTTATGATCCATACAGTTCTTCAGTGATGGAATTATTCATCATATTTAAATACTAAGAACAGGTGTATTGTGTCATGGTAATGATAAAGTAAACAGCAAACTGCCCATGGATTGACTTTTATTCTGGTTGACCTGCGTAACAAATTTATGTGCAAATAATGTGAGCCAGCCAACGTGTGCTGCATTTCCATGCTGTGTGTGCACCACAGTTTATGGTGAAGAGTAAATAAACAATGTTCTTGCCTTTGTTGCCTGAACCTATTTCTTTGGGGTGTCAATCAAAACCAAGTGTAAAAAAAATTCATTATCGCTGCACTCCTACTGTTTTCCCTCATGAAATCTAAGCAGGGTGTTATTTTCTCCCACTGAGCCATACAGGAGCAACTCGGCTCATAACTCAACAACAAAAGCAGATTATTACTGCAAAAATGTGGAGACAGAAAACTCTAAACCCAGAGCAGCTCAGTTCAGACAGCCTACAAAACTTTGGCTAAATATTTAGACTACAGGAAACTTTTAATCGGTGCCAAATGTCAAACATGCATTTTTTAACTCGGGAGTAGCGGATCCAGCTGTGTCTGAAAAACTACCAACAATAAGTTTCCATCAGAGAGAGAGCGCTTTATGACAGGTGGCCTGTTAGCGCTACGAAAGGTGAGAAGGTAACCCAACATCACGCTGAACAAAACGGGGGCTTAAATTCGATTAGGACTCTCTAGAGCTTGCCAAAACCTGTACACTCAGGTAACCATGTATAAAAGGCCACCGAAACCAGCTTTTCCCCTACAGAGCCGCAGCACTCATTAACCACAGAGGACACCACACACTTTAAACTTCAACTAAACCAAACAAACCTCCTGACCGTATTACAGTAACTCCTCTACACTTATTTGAACTGTACAGAAGGTTTTTTTTTAACAATGTTCACATCATTCTGCAACATACTGTATAGAATTATATAAATAACATATTGTATAGTATATGTCCCATTTGTCAAATATAAGCCCCGCGGGCCAGATCAGACACAATCCTATCCAAGCCGCAAAAGCATTTAAATATTCTATTAATAATAGCCCGCTCTGACTCTCCTACTCCAACAACAATCTATAGGACAGCAGTTACACCTCAAACAGGTAGGTTTAAAAGACCGAGCTCCTGGGGACGTTTACATTTTTAATGTGTTCATGTAATATTCATGTAATATTTCAAGATCTACTACAAGTGCCCACATTTTACTGCTGAAGTTTTTGTGTCTTTTGAATAAACAATGGTCAGTTCAGTTTACAGCAAAATGTTCATTAAAAATATTTAATAATATTTAATATGACCCTTATAGCGGTTGAGTGTGACACCCCTGGTATATGTCTACCCAGACCTGCATGTGTACAGACATTCATATCTGCACATGTACAGAAATTCACGCATGTCATATGCACAGACACTCATACATCTCTCTAGTTCCTTCCTCATGGCCATTCTTTATGTTTTGCTCTCGTATTTTATTGTATTTTTCCCTTAGTTTAATACTTGTTAACAGTCTGTGTGCTCATCTCGTCTTAGTACGTCACATGTCATAAATGTGTGACTCACCAAGACAAATTTCTTGTATGTGCCACATACTTGGTCAAACAAAGTGATTCTGATTCTAAAATAACCACAGTGTTCTGCTTTGTGCTGCCTCTGTCCTGTGGGTGAGACTGCTGGGTCTGAGTGTACCTGGAAGATGATATGGTGAAGGTGTTTTGTAGACACCTTAGTAACACAACATTTCTTCTGACTTTGGTATGTGATCAAAATATTGCGAAAATATTCCAAAATATGTGTCACAATACTTATTTGTTCAGACATCTGATCAGGTGAAACAGGAAAAAGAACCAGTGGTGCTACATTTTAAAAACACTATCAGGAACTATGAATACAATGGCTTTTATTCAATATTTGACTGTTTTGCACTAAACCCAATTAAACAGGACTAACTTTGCTCCTTTACAATGAATCACGCAGTTGGTCAGTGTCTACAAGCACTGTCGATATTTATGATACGTTCAGAAAAGCGTATTGTATTGCATTGTGACAATTTATCACGATAATGATCTACACTGTCATACTGCCCAGCCCTATCCTGACTGCTGCTGGCTGTGTATGAACCATGAAGATCAAACAATACAGCTGAATTCAGTGCCTTAATTAACAGAATGCCATTCTCTACAACGCATTACCAGAGTTTTTCACAGCAATATTACAATGTCATGATGCATCATCACACCCCTATAAATCATCTCAGCGCAGCAGGACGGTTCAGGG